TTCTTCCCCCCATTGGGATTAATGAAGTGGGGGTTTTTTAAATATTAAAATATTTTCCCCCAATTATCCCCCTACCGCTTTAAAAACCCTCCAAATTTGGGGGGAATCCCCTCAATCTGGCATCAGTGGGAGAAATTCACACTCTGAATTTGCATTGCAATACAGTAACGCCATCTCGTACATGCATCTCATAATTTTAATACAATGTGTGAACCTGTTTTCTCGAACGTACAACAGATGTCTCTACTGAGATATTTGTATCGTAACTCTTATTTAACCAGTCGTCCAGCTGAATGATTAAATTATTATGATTTATTTGCCATAAACGTGGTTAATTGGTATACCTAAGAGCGTTCATTGTTTCAACTGTAGTAATTTCTCAACACTTGAATTTGAGTGGGCAGAGAGGCTTTTGCTGCGTCCATGAATATTTAACTTTTAGTTTAAAAGAGAGGTATGGCATAGCGGATTTTCTTCTCGTATTGAAGCGCCCACGAAGCGCCTGTCTGGGGAAGCAACCCGCACCTTACAGAACACCACAGTGAAATAACACTACCTTTTAGTGGCGTTGTGTTTCTATCTGTGAATAAGGCTCTAGGGCTCCACGGGGTAGGGTATTGGGTCAAGGTAGACAACGGCGCGAGTGATATTTTTTGTATCGCAAGCGTCAATGGCCTATTGTGGTCGCTTACCATCACATCAGGCGGGCCAAGCATTTGTCATACCTCCACTGATTGAAATCCTTTGAAGTAAAAGCTCTATTATTTTTGGAATCCTTTGAAGTATTTTTTTTTATTATAATTATAATAAGTTTGTATAAAAATACATACAAAGTCATAAATAATTATTATTATCGAAGAGAAAAAATATTCACTCATCTAGGAAAGGGAATAAAAGGCAATTTAAGAATTCGATAGATGAAAAATATTTCGAGATAATATGATATCAAAAAGCGGAAGCGCAGCGAAGGGTGCTTCTGCCTTTGATGGTGGTTGCAGCGAGGTCGCACCTCAGGGCTGCCACCGCGGACGATTAAAGTTTAATATCAATATTTAATATAGTAAGTCCATGGTATGATTGCTACTGGGTTATAATTCCATAGCCCTCTTTCATAATAACTGTTATTAAAAATCTAGTAACCAGTAACCCAAGCACGAACTTCGACAGATCCGTAATCGTATCGCCGCAAAGTTTCTACGGAAACTAAGCAGTGCCCCTTACCGGACATAAGATATCTAAAAATTCGTGCTTGGGGCACTGGAATTTAAATTTGTTAGTAAGACCATGTTAAGTCACTTTTTTGACCGTCTGTCGCGGTAGTGCATGTAAAATGGCACAGCAGCGACTCCTTGGACGCTCAAGCTTGCTCGCAGTCATCAGAATACTGTCGGAACTGACCCATTCCCTTCGCACCAGGAAAACCACCTCTTGCGCATTGTTGACTACAACTATAGGGTTAGGTGACAAATATATCCATAATATTTATGTATTGCAATTTGACGTCTGATGATACTTGTTTAAGATGGTAGCATTTGAAACTAAAAAAAGCGCGTCAAGACAGATCGTTGAAAAATTCAACACCGCCTGCTGCAGCTGGTGCCAAAATTCTCGAGGCACTAAAATGTTCTTTGACGTTGAGGATTTAGGATGATATCTTTCTTGAATGTGAACACCGCATCTATGGGACGTCGTAGCGTTTATACTTAGTATGATTAGGTTCTATTTAAATTATATTTATTTATTATTAGCACATAATTATGATATTTTTTATTCTTAAACAAAATATGTGTAGTAAGACAATGGTCTCGATTCTAGCATCATTCTCTATACAGAATGAAAAGGAGAGACTGATGTTAAATTTAGGTTTAAGCTTAGAGAGTCACGCCAGAATCGACACCAATGTCTTCCGGGGTTTATAGTTAACACTTTTTAGTTTACCTTAAAACAATTAATTTACTTGATTTAAAAAAAAATACTCTAACCTCTGCTTCTATGATGTTTTTAAACTTGATGTTAGTAGTATTATATTAATGATGGACAGCAAGCAGCCCTGCTCAGCACGCGTTCTGGCGAAATTGGGTGACGTGGGTCGCCCGACGCGGAGACATCGCCGCCCGCGCCACCAGGCCCGTGCCGAGGGCGAACAGTTAAACATTACAGCTGAACTGAACACATGTTTTGCATGTGAATATTGAAAAGAAAATGGAAATATTGGAATATTGCTATCTTCGGGTGGCTATGGGTGGCAAGGTTATGATATACCTGATCACTCAAGTATCTTCCGTACTTTGGATGTAATCTTCCGGATCATCGGATTAGCGGCACTCCGCAGCTTCCGGCTGCTTTGGCAGAATTTAGCGTCCACTAATCTGTGCAGGGCCTACGTGGTTGAACTATGCCCCAGCAGCGAGGATTTATAGTATTATAGTTAATAGGCTGCTGATGATAGCTTAAGAGTTGAATAAATATTGGGTTCCTTAGTTATATGACAATGACGTTCAACGTGGCAATGCTACCAGCCTATTGGGCACCATTCCTGGCGGGCGTCGGCGCTGGGGGTGACTTATTTTTCATTTTGTAAATTAGATATTATTTTTAAGTAGAGTAAGGTAAATTGTATTATATTTTATACAGTAGGTAGTTTTTAAGTCGTTGTTTCATAAATAAATTATTGTTTTTCTTTTAAACGGTGCATGTGCACCTAAAATACAATTATGTTTACTCTCGAGCTTCGATCAATTGTTGATCGAAAGAACTCGAGATAAGTATGTAATGTTCCCAGTATTCTAATGTGTTTTACTCGATTTTGTCAATCTTACTCAACGATGTATTTAATATCGTTGATCTTACTAATTGAATTGGTAGAAATATTTTTAAAAGAAATTGACGAAGTTTTGACTATTACCAAGTGCTAGAAAACAAATTTGCTTATAAAAGCAAGCAGTAAGATATTTGTTGCCTTCTTTTTGTTTACTTTACTGAATTATCGGGTATTCAAAGTGAACCTTTATATAAAAGTGAACGGATCTCTCTGAAGTAAATACTTCCCTGTGCCACGTAAAGCAGTTGCGTTCCGTTGCGAATCGAGCCCGCGCGTGCCTGATACCGGGCCACTCCGCGCGCCGCGACCTTTGCAGTCTGTCGTCGCCAAACCACGGACAATGCCCCGCCCGAACCGACCCTCATTCACAACTATAAACACGGCGTCCATCGACCACCTGCGAGAGTCAACATGAATGGCCGAAGGTCGGATGCGTCCACGTCCACGGAGGACGATCTGAGGGTGTGTTGTGTTGCGATATCGATCGTTATTTTGCGTGTCTTGTGTGCAGTCGCGGGAGATCCTGTATTTGTCACGTTATGTGTGTTTGGTTGCAGGCGCAACCGCTGTGCCTGTTCTACTTCACGCACCCGTTCGGCGTGTTGTCGCCGGAGCCGCCGACGCTGGGTCCGGCGCCGGCGCACGTGGCGCGCGCCTTCCTCAATATGGAGCCGGTGTCGCCCATGCACTTCTGGCCGCCGTCCACCACCAGCGATCCCTATGACACCGCGCCCACCTCCTCGTCGAACCTTAACTTCGATCTGGGCGACGCGAAAGTGCACAAAAATCCAGTGAACCTAGTGACCGTGTCCGAGACGCGAAAGTGTACGATAGAGTTGGGTGCGCGCTCGTCGTTATCTTCTTCGCTCCTGTCCAGCGACGTATGGTTCGGCTCGAGCTCGGGCTCGCGCGGCGTCCCCGGCGCCCGCCGCTCGGTGCCCTACCACAGAATCCTACCCCCGCTGCGGCTGCCGGCGCCTCAGGACACCTCCCCCTCGTGCAGCTCCGATGACGTGTGGCCCAAAAAATTTGTGATTCCCGCCAAGTTCTCCCTCCCTCCCATCGAAATGCCAGTGCAACCGATAAGGATGAAATGCAAGAAAGTGAACAAACAGAGTGATGAGGTGTCGAGTGTGGAGTGCGCGAGCGTCCGCGAGGCGCGGCGCGGGCGGCGCGGGCGGCTGGGAGTCAGCAAGCGGCGGCGCTGGCGGCACGGCGCGCACCTCAGCGGCGTGCGGACGCTGCTCACGCGGCTCTTCACCAGGACCGTCAGAGGTCAGCCACTCTTACTAATGTTATGTTTCTACTAACTCTAAACGGGACCTAGGACTCTATATTTTAATGGACAATAGTTATTCTAACCCTTCTATACTTATCTATATCTCGCTAGATATTCGAAAGACCCTAAAAGGTAGAGCACCACTCGGTAAGTATATGGACATTGGACACGGTATATGGATAGCATCAAATTAAACCTATTCTATAGAGTTGTGTGTGTGTGAGTGTTCTTGCAGCGAGTGAGAATGTTCGCCAGAGCTCCACGGAATACTTTTAATCAGGACGAATTCGGGTATGATTTCGTATGACATGCGGAGATTCCCACCGGAATCTTGCATTTGGTCTTCTTTGGAGTTGTTTTAGCTCAGTACGGAAGCTGATGAGCTGCCTAATCACCTATGACTGTGGTCCACCTGGCTAGTTAGGTGACGTTACTAATGAAGAGAAGCCCAAGATACTCAAGATAGTTAATTATGTGTGGTTAGTTCGCAAATCGGTTGGAGTGCCAGATGTTCATGGTCGCGTCCGTGTTGCTCTATGTCGTGATATTATTGTTCATGTCACATTACAGTCAGTAAAGATGACGAGTAATTTCTCAAACATACGATTTAAATTTTTTGTTATTGAGCGAATAAGATTACCAGACATTCTAAAGTGTGATTTTACCTTTATACGTTATTTTGTGCTATTGCATTTAGATTCAAAAATGCAAAATCAATCTATAGAAAATACATTTCATGAACTTGCTCTCAGGGTTTGTCTATGATATTTAATATTCATTCATTGACTTACTTGACTTTGTACTCTCTTTGAAAAACAATCTCCGTAATCTGTGTCCAGTTTCTACAAGATCTCTAATCTATGGATAGAAGACCAAAATAAACAAGAACTAACTAAAAAGCCGTGAAAAGCCTTTATTTTTCAAACTCAAAACTTGCGAAGTAGTCATCTTCTCAACCGAAGTGTAGACGTAAAGGGTATACGTAGAATCAGTTGAACCTGATTAAGGATGGGGTTTAGTTTGGAGTTGTGTCCGGTGGTGTACGGGTGCTGCGGGCGCGTCCCGCTGCGGGTGGGGTGCGGCTGCATCGCGGCGCTGGGCGCGCTGGTCGCCGTCGCGATGCTGTGCCTGTACGCGGGCGCCGGCGCTGCCGCTGCGCACGAGCTAAACGTAACCGCTGCCGTATCCGGCCCCGCGAGGCACGCATGTTTCATATTCGGTGTCCTGCTCTGCGCCGTGCATCTCCTGCTCCTCCTTGCGACCGTGTTCCGCAGCGAGGCCCTCTGCCAGCTCTACGTATGGTTCATGCTCGTCTACCTGCTCGTCTTCACCGCGTGCGCCCTCGTCTTCGCTTTAGTGGCGGCGCTGTCCGATGCGGATATGGTATTCGTGTTCGCCACACTCGCGGCGGTACTAGTTTACGACTCGCTGACTTTGTATTTCATTGTAGTGGTGGCAAATTTTAGAACGACGTTACCGTAAATGTAGTAAGCATCGCTATTGCTAGATCAGTATATATTTAATCATATAAACATAAAATAAAATATAATGTTGGAATCATATCAAGTACTTCTTTTTTTGCATTCGTATTCATTTCTGCAATCGCGACTTCCAAAACAGTCGCAATTTCTTAGAGATCAACTTTGCTCTCTTGATTCGCTAGAAGATTCCTGTAGAAGGATATTAGTGAATATCTTTACCATATTCCTGTCTCATTTTCCGAGTTGTACAGTGGTGGGCGTTCATTCTAGCTCATCGTTTGAAGCATCTTCGATATCGGCGACTTGGTAGGCGGGCTCGTCTATGTCTAAATCGAGGATTATCTCTTGCTTGACGTCGTCGTCGGCGATGACTGCGAGCGCGTCGGCCGCGGTGGTGGTCGCGTGAAGGTCGCGCACGTTGCGGATCACCTTCAGGATCTCCATCTTGGCAGTGAGCTTCTCGTCGTCAGTCATGCGGCGAAAGGATGGTATCAACGACATTAGGAAGTGGCGATCTTCGTCTATATCATCTACAGCGGGAGAAAGCGTGGAGGTTGCCGTAACATGGCGTTTCCGCGCGTTATCTAAAGCTTTGCTCGGCGTCGACTCCTCATCGTTGCTGCTCAGGTGCGGAAGCAAGAACGACATGTGCTTGTAGTACACGTACGTCTTCTTCTTGATGTCGTGCCCCTCCTTGATTTTCTTCTCCACCTCCAGCTGACGCTTGAAAGTGTCGCGCAGGTTACGCCATTTCTTTATCAGATCTGAAACTGATAGAAAATTAAGGTAAATAAACAGGAATCAGAATAGATACTTTGATACCCCCAAACCTCTTAGGATTAATCCTATTTTAAGTATCCCCCCTACTTCTACAAATTATCGGCAGAACGCTTTCCTTTGTCAGGCAAGTAGCTGCTTCAATTCACTATCAAAACAGGTAAGATCTTTTTAATACTAGCGAAACGTCCATTAGACGTATCATTGCTCGTTTATTTACGAAGATTATAATTAACAGGTGTGTAATTCGTTATTCTGTTATTTATCATAAAGACCTCATTTATAAAACTATATTTAAGTTTTTTTTACATTGAACAGGACAAATAGTATCTCCATAACTTTAAGTTATGTCTAGATGTGAGGACCTGTAATTGGCTCTTTGTCGCTTCTATTCATTTCTAGTTTATTAAAATAAGCTGTTGGTCTTCCATGTAACCGAAAATTAATAAATAAGTCAGATAATAATTACAATTAATGTGAATCTAATTTATCAAGCTAGCTGCCGTTTTTTTAAAAACCCCTAACATCCTTTGCCTCAATCCAGGTAATAAGCTATAGTGTGTCCCATCCAAATTCGTTCAGCTGATTTTGCTGGCCTGAGTAACACGAACATACAAACTTTCACATTTATTATACAAATAATCTCGGATCGGATACGACACGCTAAACAACATTGTAGGTTCTACATAAGCAACAACATTAGGGAAGATGGTGTGGGAAAAATTACAAATTCTTTACGAAAACTACAGAGTATGTACCTTATCTGATTTGTGTTTATCAACCAGCTGCATTAGATCCAGAATTTGAACAGCGATCTGCTTTTCGGAACAATGCTAGTTCCAATCCCGACGATTGATCAAACATGCAAGCACGCGATGTAGGTCACGTGGTAGAGGCGGCTGGGTCGCTCCACCACGCCCCTCTGTTCCTCAAACCTACTATACATCTACTATAACATAGGTTATTAAGAATGAATAAATGCATATTTGTATATTCGAGAGGTTTGCTGGATCTACACTAAAACACAATAAGCTTCATTCAAATTGACATTGCACCTGACGAAACCCTTTATTGCCTGGGATCCACCACCTCGGTGCAGTTCGGGGAAAAAACTTCTCATGGTCCACTCAGGTAAACAACGCGGGTGACTACAACGGGCAATATAAAACGATTTGGACAAATGTTGAAATGTACGGTTGGAGTGGGTGACTCACGTTTGGTCTGCTTTTGTAACTTGGAGTAGGTGTGCCAGCCGGGCAGGACCACCCTAGCGACTTCGGACCACAGCTGGGTGCGGTGGTGCGGCGACGCACTCTCCGGGCACTCGCGTGAGTACAGCCCCGGCCGCTTCTGCACCTCTGCAATGATGTGCAGCGGGTGTACCTCTTCCAAGATCTTCTTAGCCCTGAGCGCTGTGGGTTTCCTTTGCATCTACAGAGAAGAATACGATTATGCGTTAGCCATGCCACTTGTGGCTTATCGCCACATTTTTTTTTGAATTAAAAACTTCTTTAGTATCGTTGTGACTTGAAATTCGATTAAATGGAAGTACAGTATTTGACACAAGATAGGTATCCGTAATTTTATCATCTTGTATGTTTCAAATAAATAAATTGACTTGGCAATCGCATAAAAACATAATGTATCTTACATATTATATTAAATTAGATTGTTGAGTGCTATTGCCTTTGTCAGCATAAGATGTTGTTAGGTGAGCTGGTTAGTTAGTTAGTTTTCAGGGCGGTTTCCGCACTTAGTCCTAATTATTGGACTATTGTGCGTAATTTCGTAATAATTTAAGACAGAAGGTTCCTTAAGCGAGACTTGTTTTTTTTTACAAGTTATGTTTTTGATGGCATAAATATATACAACACAAAAATAATTTTAATTTGGACAAGAAGTTCCTGAGATTAGCTCGTTCTGCATTCAGCCATTTTTTGCTCCAATGCAAGTGTGTTACGGATACGGATATACGCATCCGCAAATGCAGAATATTCGCATTAATTCTGACATTTTAATCCGCATTAATTAATGCCAAGCTTTTACGGATACGGATCAATATCAACAAGTAAATACATCTAACGAAAGTTGGCGGAGTCAGAGTGACACGTATCTAAAAAAATCTGTTTTTGTTTTGTTTCCAAAATGAATATAATAAAATGTTGTTATTTATGAACTTAAAATTGGAATATCTTTATAATATCCTGAAATTTGAAATCCGTATTCGCATCCGCTACACGCGGCTCCAAAGCACGGTAGTATAGATAATATTATTGTGTCCAAAGGATTCGAACCCCGAAAGGGCACAAATTCATGACTTTGCGTAAGGGGCACTGATTGTGAAATGTGTGAATAAAACAAATAAGATTAATGTCGGTTTGAGATTTATTTTTGTCTTAAAAATAAGTATTCTTGGAATATTATGTCAACTTCTTATCTTTACTTGCAAAATATATCATGATGTCAGCTAATTTATTATCTGTTTCAAGTCTGATCTACTTATTAGGGCGCGTTTATATGACACGGATTGTCACAGCGTGGCGGCCGCGCGGTCACCGGCTGGTAGCCCCGCCACTGCTAACTCGATTCATTTGCAGTTGATCTTGGCCTTTCTTAAAATTATTTGACTAAGAAGAAAAAAATTATGATTGCATATTACTTGTACCGACAAAGCAAAAAAGAAGAAATGTAGAAGATTTTGGATTCATCCCATTTTAGCATGGCGAGAAGGGTTTGGTGAATTTCATATGCTATACAACCAACTGCGAGAAGAAGAAAAACAATTCGCAGATTATTTCCGAATGGATGTTTAAACATTTGATACATCATTGGATTCACATCACACAAAACATTTGATGTTAAAACATTCACAGTCGAGTGATTCGAGCGCGGCTGCCGTGTGATAGAGGAGCGGACGCCGTGCGATCGCCGTGCAGTTAGTTACTCACAAAGAATTTCAAAGTTAATTTCCTAGTTAATAAAACATTAATTTACTATGACTGAACAGTTATACGCGGCCGCCGCGCGGTCGCCGTGCGGCGGCCGCAAAAAATTTTTCCCGTCGTCTAACTGCAGCCTTAGTCGCATGTAGGGCATGATAAATTTAAAAAAATTCGATAGATAAACCTAATTACTAGCGTTTTAAGGGTTCCGTACCTCAAAAGGAAAAAACGGAACCCTTATAGGATCACTTTGATGTCTGTCCGTCCGCCGTCTGTCAAGACCGTTTTTCTCAGGAACGCGTGGAGGTATCAAACTGAAATTCATATCTAATACTCATGTCTAAAAGGTTTTCATTCATTCATTCATTTCTACTGTCCCTTGGAGCTGTGAAAAAATCTTCTAAAGCAATCAAAAGATGCAGCCGTTTATGCCTCAAATTTTAGAAATTAGCACGGGAATCAAAACCTACAGGGTACTTCCCGTGAACTTAGAATCTTGAAATTTGGTACGAAGTAACGTCTTATAGTACAGATAAAGGAAAAATTGCGAAAACCGTAAATTTTTAGTTACATCATATAATAAAAAATATTTTTGGAAATTTTGAAGTTCTCTTTTCTCATGAACGCGTAGAGGTATTATATTGAGTTTGTACGGAACCCTCGGTGCGCGAGTTCGACTCGAATTTGGCCGGTTTTTTTACTTTGTTTTCAGAGAAACAATGCTTGTAGTGTTTTTTTTTCTGTAGATATTACAATTAAGTACCTATTTCAATAAACATTTATTACTTTTAGGTCCACTTGCAGCAAATTTGCTTAATCTCGATTTAACTTAAACTATGTAGGTACTTTTAGCCATACAAAAAGGCAAATTGACAATTTGACCTGAGCTTTACGCTTACAAGTTTACAAAAAGTATAAGTAAATCAGTCCTGTACTCACAAATGTCAATTAAGTTTAATAAGAGATAGTGCTGTCACTTTCTTTGCTATTACATTTGAATATCAAATGGCTTCGAATGACATTAAATTTATTTGACGTCTATGAGTACGGCCATTGGACAGTAATTAGGTAACATTTAAGTGCATAATACGTACTTTGTGGTCAACTTTCAACGGTGTTATTTCAAAGAAAGGCATGAATCAGTGTTGCCAGTACCTGCGTCGTGTTTCGGACGATTCGAAATCTGAAAAGGGACGATTTTTAGTCAAAAAGGACGGCCTTACAGAAATATTAAACTAAAGGCTGAACTATATTTATCTTACGTGTTGTATTGTGGCGCAATCTGCTTCATACATTTAGTACGGTTAGCACTAAGAACTATACCTGTGTGTCGCGATGTTCTGACAGCGTTCTCACTTTAACCATAATTGAATGAAAGATGTGTTACAACACAACACGACAGGTAAGTGTAGTTCTATCATAATGCGGTTAAATGAAAAAAAAAGCGAGTGTGTTTAGGAACACACGACTGAAGTGAAATTTCTTTAGCTCCAATGATCTGAAATTTGATAGAAAAAAACTACCAATCCGCGCTGGGTCCATTATCACACAGCAATCCGCACTGGGTCCATTGCCACCGACTAATCCGCGATGTGTCCGTTATCACCCTCCAATCCGCACTGGGTCCATTATCACCAACTCATCCGCGCTGGGTCCATTATCACCCACTGGATCCGTTATCATCCACCAATCCGCACTGGGTCTGTTATTATACACCAATCCATACTGGGTCCGTTATCACCCACCAATCCGCGCTGGGTCCAGTGTCACCCACCAGTCCACACTGGGTCCAGTATAACTTCTTATAGACTTTGATAACTTTCCTTCACAACTTGTCAGATTATTACAGCAGTGTGCTACAAATAACATGTTGGTGATTTTTTTCCTGCACTATTACAGATTTAAAATTTAATTCCTACATAATGTTTTTTAGGTTTTTGCAGATGCAACAGTCAAATCCAATGCAATACTTTCTGGAAATTATTGAACATAATGAATTTAAACGTTTAGTACATTTGTCTTTAAAGACTGGACCTGCAACAGATGCTGATATAAAGGGTCATATCCGGTCAATCCGCGCTGGGTCCAGTGTCACCCACCAGTCCACACTGGGTCCGCTATCATCCACCAATCCGTGCTGGGTCCATTATCACCCACCAATCCGCACTGGGTCCATTGCCACCGACCAATCCGCGCTGTGTCCGTTATAACCCTCCAATCCGCACTTGATCCATTATCACCAACCCGTCCGCGCTGGGTCCATTATCACCCACCAACCCGCACTGGCTCCGTTATCATCCACCAATCCGCACTGGGTCCGCTATTATACACCAATCCACACTGGGTCCGTTATCACCCACCAATCTGCGCTGGGTCCGTTATCATCCATCAATCCACGCTGGGTCCGTTATCACCTACCAAGCCAAGCACTAGATTTATGTATTTTGTTACAGGTATTGTTCATTGTTTACCGATGAGTCACCGATGACACTAATCGTAACACGAAAAGGGAAGATGCATATATAATATATATGAAAATTTTATGATTAAAATGTTAAAAAAATATAAAAGAAATGCCACTGCAACGTTTTTATTTTACATAATGTTGTTTTTTAACAATTATTACGAATTAAAAATACTTGAAACGGAACGTATTTTAAAACACCAATCAGCGTTTAGTGACGTCACTCCTGTTATGACAACTTCTTTGAGGTTATGGTTGTTAAAGTAAATATTATTTTATGGGAATATTTATTGCGTTTTTTTAACATTTAATAAAAACGGAAGTTGCGTTTATCAAAGCAGACTCCAGGAATTTACCAAGAGTTAGCGTTGACATGGTTATAACATTTTTTGTCCAAAGTGCAGTTTTTAAGTGTAGAAATGAAAGGGACTAAATTACTACGGTATGTAAAAATCGTAGTTGTTAAACTTCGTATTTTATTCAGCGGCTTCTACAAATCTTACGGCGATAATGCAATCGGCTATGTCCAAATTAAAAGAGATGGAGAATTAGGTACAGTAAAAGGTCGAGTTCCCCGGAGCATAAAGTACGTAAAGAAGGTTATCGTGTTAAGGTTATTTTAAATGAAACGCAAAGCTTGGTTCAGTCCTGCCAATGTGAAGATTGTGCCACACATTTTAAACTTTATCTAATTTTCGACGTCATTCTCCAACTGTAAAATTAAAAATATGTTATAGACAGGTTTTGTAAGTATTCGGTAGGTTACTAATGCGTTTTTACGTACAAGCAGATTAATTAAGCATATATACAAGTATATTCGCCGACTTACGTCAAAGTGATCTTCTCAGCATCAAATAATGGTCTTTGGAGAATAATTGTCATTTTTCTTTGCAGCTTGAAACCACTTTTTTTTCAGTTTTGGGTCAGAAGTTCCAGTCAAAAACAATTTATTTGGGAACTTTGTTGAAGTAGATTGGCACAAAACATGAGTCACATGATGTTGATGGATAGTCCATTTTAAATTTTTCAAAAAATTATTTCGAAAGTCGAAAAAATATGCAAAAGTATGAAAATTTAAAGCCAGCAACGAACAAGTACGACTAGTGACAGACAGCAGTGACGTCATCGCAACTATAGGTTCGTTTTCGCGCGAAAATTTAAATTGTCAATTTAAAACCGCATTTTTTCCGATAAATCACAATGTTTTAATTTTTTAATATATCTGTGGTTTATTCTACATGGAATTCTTTAAAATGAAAACAAAAATAAAAATATTGCATCTTCCCTATTCGCCAGTTTACCCCCCAAGTCAAGGCGTGCCTAAAGAAGTTTCACTTCAAAAACATTTTAACAGAGCCACATTAATTATATTTTTTTGGCCACACAATAAACATAATGAAGATGGTACGGAGGACATAGGTACATCATGGTGATACGAACGTACCGTACGTACTTACGACTCTACAAAGCAAGCACTTATTCTTAAGTTACCTATTATCTTCATAACTGAAACATACCTCAACAACAAAAGTTTTATTAGGTAAGATATGGTAGGTTATTGGGTTTGAGCTTTGAGTTGGTATATAGATATAGGTAGGTATTTATTAAAAGTCACCTTCGTAGCGAGCGTTGGATTCGATGTAGTTTACTGGGTGATTTGACGAATAGAGTTGACAATGTACAACGAATAGTGATGGCAATTTAGTGAAATAAATCAATGAGTGAAACGAAACGCATTCGTCTAATGTTGCAGTGAAGCGTTATCGAAAACGGACGGAAAAGGGACGGAATATGTAAAAGGACATCGATGGGACGCTTTGATGAGAAAAGGGACGAAAATCGTCCCTTTTGGGACGTTCTGGCATCACTGGCATGAATCGACAATTGGGAGTTCACAGTGTGTGACTGCAACACACGATGGATCAGTCTTTTCTCATCAAAGCGTCCCATCGATGTCCTTTTACATATTCCGTCCCTTTTCCGTCCGTTTTCGATAACGCTTCACTGCAACATCAGACGAATGCGTTTCGTTTCACTCATTGATTTATTTCACTAAATTGCCATCACTATTCGTTGTACATTGTCAACTCTATTCGTCAAATCACCCAGTAAACTACATCGAATCCAACGCTCGCTACGAAGGTGACTTTTAATAAATACCTACCTATATCTATATACCAACTCAAAGCTCAAACCCAATAACCTACCATATCTTACCTAATAAAACTTTTGTTGTTGAGGTATGTTTCAGTTATGAAGATAATAGGTAACTTAAGAATAAGTGCTTGCTTTGTAGAGTCGTAAGTACGTACGGTACGTTCGTATCACCATGATGTACCTATGTCCTCCGTACCATCTTCATTATGTTTATTGTGTGGCCAAAAAAATATAATTAATGTGGCTCTGTTAAAATGTTTTTTGAAGTGAAACTTCTTTAGGCACGCCTTGACTTGGGGGGTAAACTGGCGAATTGTTACGATTTCGTGTTACGATTAGTGTCATCGGTGACTCATCGGTAAACAATGAACAATACCTGTAACAAAATACATAAAGCTAGTGCTTGGCTTGGTGGGTGATAACGGACCCAGCGTGGATTGATGGATGATAACGGACCCAGCGCAGATTGGTGGGTGATAACGGACCCAGTGTGGATTGGTGTATAATAACGGACCCAGTGCGGATTGGTGGATGATAACGGACCCAGTGCGGGTTGGTGGGTGATAATGGACCCAGCGCGGATGGGTTGGTGATAATGGATCCAGTGCGGATTGGAGGGTTATAACGAACACAGCGCGGATTGGTCGGTGCCAATGGACCCAGTGCGGATTGGTGGGTGATAATGGACCCAGCGCGGATTGGTGGTTTTTTTCTATCAAATTTCAGATCATTGGAGCTATAGAAGTTTCACTTCAGTCGTGTGTTCCTAAACACACTCGCTTTTTTTTTTCATTTAACCGCATTATGATAGAACTACACTTACCTGTCGTGTTGTGTTGTAACACATCTTTCATTCAATTATGGTTAAAGTGAGAACGCTGTCAGAACATCGCGACACACAGGTATAGTTCTTAGTGCTAACCGTACTAAATGTATGAAGCAGATTGCGCCACAATACAACACGTAAGATAAATATAGTTCAGCCTTTAGTTTAATATTTCTGTAAGGCCGTCCTTTTTGACTAAAAATCGTCCCTTTTCAGATTTCGAATCGTCCGAAACACGACGCAGGTACTGGCAACACTGCGATGGATAGCAGCGCAAAGCAAAACACCTATCTGTTTTGTGGTAGCAGCACGAATCCAACCGAGCGCAACCGAAGCCGCACGACCGATAACCATAAACAACACACGGAACACGAAACACGACGTGAAACTACAACAATTTTAGGGCAATTTTCATTAAACGCTAAACAAAAACATTTCCTGATTCTTGCTTAATATCATAAAAACTGCAAAGGGATCGAAATTAACTTCTAAAATACAAAAGAACCGGGATTCTCCTACTATATTATTGTGTGTGTTTTCTATTCGCAACGCGTCGTATCGGAACACAGCACAGACCACGAGGCCACACGAGGCGACGAGCGATTGCGAACGATACTAAGCGGCGCGAGCGGGGAACTAGTCCCGCTCATCGATATATCAATTATATCGATAACTAATGGCCGCCCGCGATTTACGTTAGATTTTTGAGAATCCCTCAGGAAATTAAAATTTTTCAGGATAAAAATT